TTTATAATGACTGGACTGAATGGAAAACGATGAATTATTACCTAACGCTTTACTAGAAATCAACACCACACGACAAAATTCGACTAAAAGATCCCCATTTTATTTGCTTCATGGATATGAACCACGCCTTCCACGTGAATTGCACATTGCAAGTTTCATCGATGACACGCCACTTGAAGATCAACTTGACCTTCTTGCTTTAGCCAGGGCCGAAGCCGTAAATAATATATACGAAAAACATCTAGATAATGAGCGCAGATTCGATCTTCACCTTCGATCTCATTCATTTAAGACAGGAGATCTCGTCTTGTACGACTGGCCTAAACAAGGAGCTCATAAACTTTCTCCCATTTATAGAGGACCGTTTCTGATTGTTCGTCCTGTCGGGGCCGCATGCTACGAGATCAAGTCTATGGATTAAAGAAAGAATCTTTTGAAAGTTGTTCACGTACAACATCTTCGTCCATATCACATGCGAGATACGCCAGTCACCCAGGAAGAAGAGATCTCGGAAGAAGAGGAAGAATCAGTTTCCTAATTACATCCAGTAGAAAACATCCAGGATTCTGAAAATTACCCGAACATCATATCGAGCCGCTACGATCTGCGACGCAATCGACGCCCGCCTGAAAGACTTATTACTTTATTTTATAACCGTCGTTGAACAGCCGATCCAATTTCATGGGTTTACGACTACTTACGTTCAACTCCGTAGCCTTGTAATTTTGAACCAATCCAGAAGACAAGGAAACTCCTGGATCAGTACCCCCAGAGGTATTGATTTGTTGTGGGAACATGGAGGACTTTGCGACTCGACAGATTTAACGTGCATCAGTCACCATTTACTACACGGGGAGTCTTCGGCCGGCGAGGATCGAACCCACGATCTCTTGGATATGGGCCCAGCACCCTACCGACCAGGCTATCCCGGCCCTTGAAAGACTTATTAGACGAAATCTGTCATAGAACCTTAATGTTTACGCTTCAATGTAAATATCTACATTTAGCATTGAGCGGGGCAGAATGTAAGGTTCGCATAAGTTTAATTTTATTACAGTAGAGAATAGGTTAACTTTCAAATAAAATGGCGGCAACATTCAGATATGTAAATAGAACGCTTCGCAAAAACATGTATTTCGCTGTTATTATTTTCCATTAAATGCTTTTATAAAATATCTCTTCGCTTATTTACTGTATTGCCTATTAATGAAATTCCTTGTCATTCAACTTTATCTTAT